CTTCTCATTATCTGTTCAAGTGAGATGGACTGGCTGGGTGACTTTATGGCCAATGGTACTTTCTCATCTCCTTTCTTCTGGAGACCAGATAGCTTTAAAGAGGAAGACAGGCTAGCCAGAGGAACTGGCCATGTGTTGAGCTGCAGAGTCTTAGGCTCAGTATTTAAATATGGACATTCTAGGAGTAGTTCTAAGGTGGGTGGTTCCTGCCCCCCATCCCCCCCCTCTTTTTTTTTTTTTTTTTCTTTTTAGATGGAGACTTGCTCTGCTGTCCAGCCTGGAATGCAGTTGCATGATCTCTGCTCACTGCAACCTCCACCTCCCAGGCTCAGGTGATTCTCCTGCCTCAGCCTCCTGAGTAGCTGGGATTACAGGCATCCACCACTACACCCAGCTAATTTTTTTTTTAGTAGAGATGGGTTTCACCATGTTGGCCAGGCTGGTTTCGAACTCCTGACCTCAAGTGATCTGCCTGCCTCAGCCTCCCAAAGTGGTGAGATTACAGGCATGAGCCACTGCACTCGGCCTGGGGTGATGTTTCTTAAGCTACTCTCACTCAGAGCCTGCCAAATTTGCTTATTGAGCTGAGGTCTAGTGAGGAAGTCCTCAGAATGGGGAAGTAGGGTAATAGTTAAATATTGATGAAATCATTACTTCTACTCCCCAGCCTGAAGAAGCTTAATCTTTTGACTTTCTGCTCTGCTGAATTTTGAACCCCTACTGAGGAGGAGACACCTGTGGGATGGGAGGAGGGTTGTTTGGTCTACCTGTTATCCTCTTAAGGCGTTCTGCTGGAATGTGGGTTTTGCAGACTCCTCCCTCCTCTGGAGCTGGAAACTGCACTCTCTGATGGCATCTCATGCTGTTAGTGGGACTGTCACTTAATTATTTTCCTGGTTACTTTGTGTGAACATCCAAGCCACCCTTATTGGGAAGCTACATGAGTCCAAAACTGAGACACTGGTGTTCTAGGATCCATCTTTCTTTTCTGCTCTTGGCCTGGAATTGGTCTTTTATAGTGTAGCACCTTGTCAAATTTACTTTCAGTTCTGCGTTTCCTTTGTACTTCTGTCTAAATGGGAAACAGATGGCAACATAATGTTTAAATGCAGTCTTTTTCCTTATCTCTTTTGTGTGTGTGTGTGTGGTAGTGGTGGTAAAAATACATATAAAATTTACCATTGTAACCATTTATAAATGTACAGTTCACTTTATCTGTTTTTAATACCTCTTTCCTAATTGTCCCTGATATTTTTCTGTTTTTAATTTTTTTCTAGTCTAAAAAACTTAAGAGGCTGGATGCAGTGGCTCACACCTGTAATCCCAGCGCTTTGGGAGGCCAAGGCGGGTGGATCTGAGGTCCACCTGTGGATCTGATGAAACCCCATCTCTACTAAAAATACAAAAAATTAGCCAGGCATGGTGGCGCATGCCTGTAATCCAGCTACTTGGGAGGCTGAGGCACAATAATAGCTTCAACCCTGGAGGCGGAGGTGGCAGTGAGCCGGGATCGGATCACTGTACTCCAGCCTGGGCGAGTATCGGCATTGGGGGAGTGAGGGGTCAACTGCAGGCGTGTAAGGTCAGCAGACTACCTCTGCCTCAAAAAGAGAAAAAAAAATTAATAATAAAAACCTTAAGAGTACTACTGAGGAAGTGGGCTTTGAACAGCAGTTTTGATTCTGGCCTTAATCCTAAATTCCTAGTCTCTAGAGAGGTTAGAATGTTTGACTGTTGTGTGGTTCCCTTCTATTTGTGGGTCTGGTGGACTAAGCCACAGGCTTTATCACGTTTCTTTGGTTGCTTTGCTTTCCTTTTTTTCCCCGGGTACTAGAACACACACTCACAGGGGAGAGGCAGATAGCCTTTTACCCCTGCTTAGGCTCCGCCTTTGTTTACTGTGGGGCAGATAGCTCTACTCCCTTCCAGCTTGCCTCCCCTTTGGTGAAGTTTAAATTCCCCAAGGACACGGTATCTCCCTGGTTAATGCATTTGTGAGCACAGGGAACTCAAGTAGTCCTTTACTCACAGGGCTGAAGCCTAACTTTCTAATACTCTTTCATTTGAATTTTCATCTGTGGCTTTTATCTAATAAGAGAAACCCCAGTGTGGCAGAAAGCCAGATTTAGGCTAATCCCCTTCTGTCCTTGGCCCTGTTCTGCCTGAGAGTACCATCCCACTGTCAGTTTCTTTACTGAAGGGGTTGACATATTTGGGAAATCTCTTTGGAGTGGAGGATAGCTGAAGCTGTTGTCAGCCGTCCTATAATGTGACTGAATTACTACTGCATGCTACTCCTCCCCCAATCCCCCACCCAGGATCTTTGCTTCCTGGGCAGTGGAGAATCCTATTATTACCTGAAGGGAAGGACCACAGAATACTGTATATCCTCCAAGCTGGGCAGAGATAGGTCAGCTGAAACATCAAAACCACATCTGGAGGGGCATGCTAAAACCTAAGATGATTAGGAAAGTGCAGAGCTTAATGTTTCCCAGGGCCACAGGTAGCCTGGTCAACAAAAAGTAGGCCTGTTCAATCTCTTGGTACCCCTTGGTATTATTTGACCTGACGGGGACAAGCACTGTGCATAGACTCATGAGGGAAAAGTCAGCTTGTCTTCCTTGTTCCTTTAAACAAGGTATCAAATCTTGATTCTGCAGGCTTTTGTTTCATTGTAAAGAGAACTGATCCTCTGTGCTAGCAGAAAAGAGAAAGGCAAGGTCCCATTCCCTCCCACCCCACCCCCGAGGGGTTCTCTGAAACTTTGCTAGGCCTCCCATCTCGGGTTCTGCTTTTGATACAGGCTTGTTCATGTGTGCATGCTCTTAGGAGGGCACCAAGATGTGTTTCCACCCCCTCCCTTTTCAGCCTTGCTAAGAATTCTATTGTAAATGCTGATTTGTGGGAGAAACTGCCTGAGCCAGCTTGCTGTCATGGCAACTGTACACCCCCGCCCCAGAGCCTGTTATCTTCTACTCCAGTTTGGGTAACTACTGGTGAGCTGGATGATGCCTTACATTTCATGAGCTTCCTCTAAATCTAGTTGTATTTTTCGTCTGAGGTGGGTAAGTCATTTTACTAGCAGTGTCTCATAGTTCTTGCCTGATAGCCTTCACTTGTGGCCTTGTTGGGTTTGTGAGGATAAATGTGTGTTGTTACAGAGGACATCTGTTTTTCTGGAAGAGGCAGAAGCAGAGAATACTTGTCTTTGTGGTGTTTTGAATAGTGTAGTTAGAAGCACAAATGGTTTGTTAGTAATTTCAGCTTATGTTGACTTCTCGATTTTCTTTGCCTGGTGGCTAGATTAGCCCCAGCCCTCTGCTTCCCTTCCTAGTCTCTTCAACCTCTCATGTTTGTATGTGGAAGTTTTTGTGCCAATCCTGATTGTTAAAAAGGAGTCTTTTGGTCTATATTCTTCCTCATCAGAGCTAGTGGCCCAGGCTATATCTATAGCTGCCCCAACTCCTGCCTGCCAGGAAGAAATCAGGGTAATAGAATTCAGGCACAATCTGGGCTATAGAAGAGAGATCGTGTTTACCAGGCACTTGGATAAGCATCTGAACTGGGTGGTGTAAGGGGCATATTAAATTCTCGTATATTGTTGCAGTCAGGGTGCCTCCCACCAGTAAAGGTAGTGGGGAAGCAGTCATGGAAAGAGATTTTCCTACCATTAGAATTTATCCATCCACCTACAGGCTGCCTCCTTCTTTCCTTGTTTCTTATTCCATTGCTAGGGAAACCCATCCAGGATGGGTTTACTTGGACTCTAGCCTATACTTCATTGTGAGATGGAGGCCAGGGGGAAGATTGCCATAAGCTGTATTAGAGGGTGAAGCTAAGGGGATGGCTGGAGGAATAGAAAGGAGACAATTCAGAAATTTGGAGGAATGGTAGTGGGTGTGGTGGAAATGTTCTTTCTTTTTTGTTAAGCTATCAAAACAGATAATTTTAGCCAGAAGCAGCTCCTTGTAGCCAACTTAAAAAAGGAGTAGGGGGGCACAAGTTTAAGGGATGGTGAGTAGGCATCCCAACAATGTTCCATTCTTTTGCTTTCCAGTCTGGAAGGCTATTCTGGAAGACGTTCCCTTGGCTAGTTATTTTTCTGATATATTAGGGTAAAGTGATCATAGGAATAACAGTTTGAGTTAAGCAGCAATTAATAGGTAATCCAGGATTCCCTCTTTTTTTTTTTTTTTTGAAATCGAGTGTCACTCTGTTGCCCAGGCTGGAGTATAGTGGCACGATCTCAGCTCACTACAATCTCCGCCTCCCGGGTTCAAGCGATTCTCTTGCCTTAGCCTCCCGAGTAGCCGAGACTACAGGTGCCCGCCACCAAGCCTGGCTAATTTTTGTATTTTTTTTTAATTAGAAATGGTGTTTCACCGTATTGGCCAGGCTGGTCTCGAACTCCTGACCTCGTGATCCACCCGCCCCAGCTGCCCAAAGTGCTGGGATTACAGGCGTGAGCCACTACACCCAGCCAGGATACCCTCTTTAAGAAACCTTGCTTATTATTTATTTATTTATTCTGCTTTATGAGACACTTTAGACGGTTACTGAGGATGAGATATGCCTCCGAGCCAGAACTCAGGCAGAAGGAACACTTCATTGACTTTCTTTTCTGACTGCAGTGTGTTTAGGAATTTGAACTGAGTCCAGGAAGTGGGTGGTACTAACTCACTGGGCTGGGCAAGGAACTGAGTTTTAAACCACTCTTCCTGTGGAACATATGGGAGTTCGTTGATGGGAAAGGGAGGAAAATATTAACAGCACTATAACTTCTATATATAAATATAACATTATATTAACATATAAACTACTATAAACCATATCTATTATGTAAAGTTATGTCTGCTAGATCTTTTAACAGCTGAGCTAAGACAAGTTCTACCCTGCGAGACTCTGGCTTTTTCATGGTAGTCAACCCCGATCTTAATGTCGTAGTTACTTCTTTTCACCATGCCTCTGCTTCCCTTGTCCATTCTTTCCTTCAAATGCAGGCTGAGGCTGAGGTGGCCTCCTTGAACCGTAGGATCCAGCTGGTTGAAGAGGAGCTGGACCGTGCTCAGGAGCGGCTGGCCACTGCCCTGCAAAAACTGGAAGAAGCAGAAAAAGCTGCTGATGAGAGTGAGAGGTGTGTAGTGAAGCCTGATGGAGTGTGGATTTTAAAAGACATTCATAATAGTTTCGATCAAGATTTCCTTATAGACTGTTTTTCAAATAGCAGTTCTGGCTGCGTGTGGTGGCTCACGCCTGTAATCCTTGCACTTTGGGAGGCTGAGGCAGGAGGGTGGCTCGAGCCCAGGAAATTGGGGCTGCAGTGAGCTGTGATTGCGCCACCGCACTCCTGGGTGACAGAGCAAGACCCTGTCTCAATCAATCAAGAAAAATAAAATACTAACTCTATCATACAGGATCTCCTTTCTTTCTTTTTTTTTTTTTTTTTTTTTTAGAGATTTCACTCTTGTTGTCCAGGTTGGAGTGCAGTGGCGCAATCTTGGCTCACCGCGACCTCTGCCTCCTGAGTTCAAGCGATTCTCCTGCCTCGATTCTCCTGCCTCAACCTCCCGAGTAGCTGAGATTACAGGCATGCACCACCACGCCCAGCATTTTTAGTAGAGATGGGGTTTCTCCATGTAGGTCAGGCTGGTCTCGAACCCCTGACCTCAGGTGATCCACCCACCTTGGCCTCCCAAAGTGCTGGGATTACAGGCGTGAGCCACCACGCCCGGCCCCAACCCATTTTTCACT